GAGGAGGACCAGAATACAGTAAAACCTGCCAAGAGCAACCACTCATGGAAGTTAGCAAAAGTGGTCGCTTGTAAGCGGTGGACTCTCTTCAAAGGTTTGCTGCCTTCAGAGCTGGGCAACCAGAGAGCAGTGGCTGCTGGCCAGGTACCTGCAAGCAGCAGAACAGAAGTAAGGAAGATCATGTGTCCTACAAGTTTGTTTTTATGGATGAAGAAAGAAAATATGGTTGCTGGTCGCAGATGACAGGTGGTCACTCTTCACAGTTAAATTATAGGGGAAAAACATTCTGTGGCCTCTGCAGGTAGTTACTTGTGATAGGTGGTCTCTCTTCAGAAGTGGTCGCTAAGGCACATTTTATTGTATCACACAAGAAGTTCTGGATGACCTTGAAAACTGGACTAATAGAAATGGGATGAAATTAAATAGTGCAAAGTGCAAGGTCATGCACTTAGGGACTAACAACGAGAATTTTTACTATAAACTGGGGATTTATCAGTTGAAAGGGAGAGGAGGAGAAAAACCTGGGTGTACTGGTTGATCACAGGATCACTATGAGCCACCAATGTGATGTGGCCATGAAAAAGGCTAATACAGTCCTAGGATGCATCAGGTGAGGTATTTCTAGTAGAGATAGGGAAGTGTTATTGCCATTATAAAAGGCACTGGTGAGACCTTATCTGGAATACGGTATGCAATTTTTGTCTCCCATGTTTAAGAAAAATGAATTCAAACTGAAACGGGTGCAGAGAAGGGATACTAGAATGATTAGAAGAATGGAGAACCCACCTTAAGAGAGGAGAGTTAAGGAACTCGGCTTGTTTAGCCTAACCAACTGAAGGCTAAGGGGAAATATGGTTGCTTTCTGTAAATACAGCAGAGGGATAAACAACAGAGGGAGAGGAGTTATTTAAGTTAAGGGTCAGTGTGGGCAAAAGAAAAAAGGATATAAACTGTCCATCAACAAGCTTAGACTTGAAAGTAGGTGAAGGTTTCACCATGAACAGCCTTCAAAGGGGCAAAACACCTACCTGGTTTCAAGACTCAGCTAGGTAAGTTTATGGAGGGGATGGTATGATGAGATTGCCTACCATGGCTTGTGGCCCATCTGTGATTGCTAGTAGCAAGTATGTCCAACTGCCAGAGATGGGGCAATTGATGGAAAGGGCTCTGAGTTACTATAATGAATTCTTTCTTGGGTGTCTGGCTGGAGGGTCTTGCCCACATGCTCAAGGTCTAACTGATCACCAGGAATTTTCTTCCAGGTCAGATTGGCAATGCCCATGGGTGTTTTTGCTCTCTTCTACAGCATGGGTCACTTGCTGGTTTGAACTGGAGTAAATGGTGGATTCTCTGTCACTTGAAGTCTTTAAATCATGATTTAAGGACTTCAGTAACTCAGCCAGAGGTTAGGGGTCTATTACAGGAGTGTGTGGGTGAGCTTCTGTGGCCTGAAATGTACAAGAGGTCAGACTGGATGATCACGATGGTCCCTTCTGGCCTAAAAGTCAATGCATGCCTCAGTCCTCTGTCTCCCAAGCAAGAGTACAGACTCTAAAAAGGTTCAAATGGAGCCTCTAGGTTCCAGCATGGATAAAATGTCCTAATTCAACAAAGTTTGGGGAAAATTCAGAGGTTCTGTGTGGGGTCAAAAATCTGGGAGTAAATGGGAATGTTGTGTAATTTATTCCATTTTTATATTTTGCAAGAATCTGCTCATCCCATCAGTTTTGGACACACATAAGAAATTGAGTATTTGCACACAGAGCGGATGAAAGAGGGATGCAGAAGAAAGAGAGGATGTTTCTGGCCAAAAAAATCAGAGTGTCAAAGGAATATTCCAGGGAAGTGTAAGCAGCACCATTCAACCAGGGACTAAGGTTAATCTTAGTATAAGAGGGTGCCACTCTCCTATTGCCTTTGATTCGGAATTGCACCTGCTTACTCCAGGGGAAGCATGAAACCCAAGAGTGTTGGGAAAGTCCACTCAGGTGTATATTAAAGTAGGAGGACTGCTTCATATTACATTAATGTTAATAGGTTTTTAGCTGCTTTCTCCGCCTCAGAATTTTTGCAGTGGAATTTACTGCTTGTATGGCCTCTTCCTGGTCAGCTCCAGCCCTTTTTCCTGCTACAACTCCCTTTCTTCCTCCTCCTCCTCCTCAGTGTACAAACTATACCCAGTTTGCAGGCTAAAATAATGGCAAGTTGGTGCACGTTGCCCTATTTTGTTACTTACCATGATTTTCTTATCAGCTTACATCCGACAACTAACTTTCACCATCTCTGTACTTTGCTTCTAAGTATTTCTATAAGTTCAGTATTGTCTGTATGATACCTGCATTAAGAGATGCTATGTCCCAAGGACCAAAAAGTGCATAAAATATTCGGGAGGAAGACCAGACATGCATTAAATGTCAGGGTGTCAGCACATTTAGAAAGAGGTCAGAGAGCAACGAAAATTATTAAGGAAAGCAACACATAATGAAAAACTATAAGAAATTAAATATATATAGATTGTCTAAATGATTACTAAAGTTTGGGAGAAAATGTTTGTGACACTGCACCACATATTCTTCATAGTGATATTATGATATGATTATGACTGAATTATGATGTATTTTACGCAAGATACGTCATTTGAGGTGTCATTGGAAAAGTTATGATTTGCTGAATATGAGTATCCTATTCGTATGCATGTATCATTTTTGTATCTGGAGTTATGAATATTGACTATATATCTATATTTCAAATGTAGTTACACCTAGGTAACACCCACTAGACAAGATGCTTTCAGTCTAGACAGTGGGTTGGGAAGGGCCTATTCAGGGCAGTGGGCCATTAGGAAAAAACAATAGGCCTTAGGAGAAGCTTATTTACCACCTGGTGATGAGTCTTCCTGAGAACACTCCAAACAGCCTGTGAGTAATGGCTGCTATGACCCTACAAGGACATGTGCTCAGATCACATGATGCTGGACTCCTTGGATGTCGGTATTTTTCCACAGACTGGTTTGGGAACCATGCTTTGAAACAAAGGGTTCCCACCATATGCAAAAGTGATATAAGGCAGGGAATGACATCATCTGGTGTTCTTCACTCCCCACACAAGACGACTCCTGGAAACACCTGAGGAACAAAGACTGAACTGGGGGAAGTGCTGGACCCAGGATAAAGGGATTTCTAGCCTGCGAATGAAACACCTGGGGATTCCAAGCTGTAAAACAAGTGCAGCTTTCCCCTTAAGAATCTGTAGCCTGCTTGTATCATCTTTTAGAGTGAGAATTTGCTAATTCATATCCAATCAATTTAGTATATTAAGCTTAGTTTGTGTTTTTTGTTTATTTGCTAGGTAATCTGCTTCGATCTGTTTGCTATCACTTATACTGACTTAACATCTATCTTTTGTAGTTAATAAACTTGTTTTTGCTTTATCGAAACCAGTGAGTTGGTGTAAAGTGTATGGGAATCTTAGCTCAAGGGCAAAGACTGTTGCATATTCCTCTTCGCATTGAGGGGGGGCGAACTTTCTGAGCTTACACTGTACAGTTCCCTGTGCAGAGCAAGACAGTATAATTTTGGGCTTATTCTCCAGAGGGGCTGCGTGCCTGGGGAGTTGGGAGTTGCCTTAGCTGTAGCCTTTCCATTGTTGGTTCATTGCAGAAGCTGGACAGAGAGCCTGCATGTAACTGCAGCTAGGTGTGGCCCTACCTATATGTGTGCTGGTGAAAGTGCAGGCTGGAGGGCTTTGCAGCTTGTCATAGCAATACAGTGTGAGAGGGAGCCCAGGCTGGTGGGTCGGGGGGCTCAGTGGTATCCCAGTCCCAGGAGGTACCGCGTGGGGAACCCGTCACAGTGTTAACTACCCACAAGAATCTGAAGGGTAGAAACTTCAAGAGGGAGAGAAATTGTGTTGGCAGTTCAAGTGATATAAATGAGTCATTACATGAAATAAGACATAGGAAAATGTAATCTACAAATTAGGAACAATTTCCTAACAGGGAGATCTTTTCAGGTTATGGACCAGGCTCCAAAAGGGAAGCAGTGGAAAAATCATTTTTTGGTTCATTTAAAACTGAAAAATAATTGAGTAATAATGCTGAACTGCATATGTATTGAAAGGTCTTTTCCAGCTCTAATTTCTATGAGCCATATTCTCCTATCCATTCTACATTACAGATTTCTTATCAGCTGTGGAGATCTCTGTTGGTATCAAGGGAGTAAATGGAGAATGTGTAATAAAGAGCCTCAAGTGGAGATCAGAGAGGAGAATTTTGACCTAGAAATACTAAGTTTCACTTTCTAATCAATTTCTTTGCTGATTCAGGCTTTATTTTCCCCCTTAGTTCTGTCTACCTCCCCTTAGGTCCCAACACATTTAATTATAATTTTTATAAAAAAAATAACAAGACTAAAGCAGGAGTGGTTTGTGTTTAATTTGCTTTGTATGATAGTTAAATATGTCTCCATTGGACAAAGCAGTGATCTTCCTAAGAAGCTTAATTATTACTTTTATGATTGATACACACTAAGACGCTCATACTTTGTTGGATTTTTTGTTTCTTACATAAATTCTACCACCCAATGGAACTGTTTACAGCTAAACACAAAAAGCAAAAATAGGAAGGGTGTTACTATTAGGGCATTGTCTACGACACACCTATACGTTGCAGTTTGAAGCTGGATCACATTCAAATCTGATTAATCTATAAGTGCCTTCGGCCTGAGGGTGAATGATGTAATTTTATTTGATTTTGGTGGCAGAGAGTTGGGGGTAAAATATCAGGGCAAAAGCAATTCAAAAGCTTCTTAGAAACAAAGTGGCTTGTCTAAACATTGCCAACTCAAAAGCTCCATGCAAAATATATTTGTAGTCTTGGTTTTATTATTTTTCAGACATACAGAAAATTGCTCATAACAAAACCTAAGAAAAAAATATTCAACACTTCCCAAAAGGCTCAAGCTCTGAGTGCAAATGAGGAAAAAACAAACAGTGAGACCTACTCTTGGTTCTGCTGTCCATTTCTATTTTCGTTGGCTCTTGAGCTGCTGTAGCTGGAGGTAATTTCTTCCCAACAGTCTGAAATAAATAAATTATTCCTCTTTAAAACCTTTATTTTCCCAGTTAAAGCTTTAGCAACAGTGCAGAAATCATGAGCAAGAAAAAAAAAAGGGGGGGGGGGGAATTACATTAAAGGGACAACTCCAAATCTAGTCAGTTTGCAGGGGGCAAAGTGGGGAGAAAAAAGAAAAAGGTAAAAAGATTTCAAGGTAGTACTCCTACCCTAAATGCCTCTGCCAATTTTTGTGTGATTTTACAGTCACATTTTCCTGTTTTTAAAAATATTTTCCTCTTCAATGTTGCTGTATGAAAGACCCACAGAAACAAGATAGGTAAATGGATTATACAGGGAAACTGACTATTATGAAGTGCTGCCAAACAAAGAAACAATGTGGGGGGGAAAAAACGAAAAAAATTCCTCCAATTTCCTTCTATCATAATAGTATTAGGTGTAACAAGTAACAATAGGAGGTAAATAAATTTCAGACATAAATGTGCTTTTTAAGTTGACAGTGTCCCTTTTTGTCATTTTAAAGACATATATTATCTAGTTCACCAAGCAGTATAATAATGTATCATCAGTATTAGACAGCTAAGTTGAAGAAACAGTATGCACACACTGCACAAACATTTTTCTTCACTGAGGCCTGGTCTACACTAGGGGGAAGGGGAGATTGATCTAAGTTACGCAACTTCAGCTATGTGAATTAGGTAGCTGAAGTCGATGTACTTAGATCTACTTACCGTGGTGTCTTCACTGTGGTAGGTTGACTGCTGACGCTCCCCCGTCGACTCCGCCTATTGTTTCTCGCTCCGGTGGAGTACCGGAGTCGACGGGAGAGCGCTCAGCAGTCAATTTATCGTGTCTTCACTAGACACAATAAATCAACCCCCGCTGGATCGATCACTCTGGAGATAAGTGTAGACATGCCCTGACAGTGATCTTTGTATATGTTCACTAGACACAATAAATCAACCCCCGCTGGATCGATCACTCTGGAGATAAGTGTAGACACGCCCTGACAGTGATCTTTGTATATGTCCATTTTTAAAATTTTAATTTTGTAAATATATTATTCTAACCCACAACAAAATTATGCCCCTGGAAAGCCTGGTAATATCTGTGGTCAAGGACCTGGCTATTTTTATTGTTTGTATAACCATGGCACCTAGGAGCCCCCAGTCATGGGCCAGAACCCCACTGTGCTAGGTCAGTGGTTCTCAACCTATTTACCATTGTGGGCCACAGGTTGAGAAACACTGTGCCAGACACACACTGGCCTGGCCAACCCTGTGCTGCCAGAGTGCCCCTTCCCTTTGGGGGAAGACCCGTGCCATGCGCCACACCGACTCCCTGCCCAGTGCCCCCCAACTCCCTATGCCCAGCGCTCCTCTGCCCAGAGACACCCCCCTCAGATCCCTATGACCACACTGACCCCCTGCTAAGACTCCCCACAGATCCATATGCCCAGCACCTCCTCCCCCCCCACCGAGAGACCTCTCCACAGAGTGGAGCCGGGGCCCCGGACGCAGGGCCGGCAGCAGAGCTCTGCGTAAAACCTAGGGGTGCTGTAGGACCCCCCCAACCCTCTAGTTCCTGTGCCTAGGCTGCCCAGCATCCCCCACAAGCCCCCCACTGCCCCACATACCCTCACTTCCCAGAACCCCCCTAGATCCGTCCCCGAGACCCACTCTCCCACACCCTGCCCAGCCCCCCAGCCACACTCACCGACCCTGCTGGGAGATGACTGTGTTTGCCGGGCTGAGCTGGCAGCGCAGCCAGGGATCGCGCTGGTCCCTGGGGAGCGGTGCGAATAGCCATGCTGGAGCAGGAGTGGGACCCGCACACGCTGAGCTCCCTCAGGACCCACTTGCCTGGCAGGGCCCCCTGCATTGGACTGCTCAGTTCTTTCCCTGCCACAGAGGGCTGCTTAGCCTTCGCTGCTGGCAAAAGTGCTCCAGCAGGGCTGCCTGCCGCCATCTCCCCATCAGCCAGCCCCACACCCTGCCAGACTGGAGGAGCAGCAAGCTTTGCAATTTTTTTTAGCGCATAGCTGGGACACAGCTGTGTGCTAATTGGGCCGCAGGTTGAGAACCACTGTGGTAGGTGCTGCACAAAGACAGAACAAAAAGACAGTCTCTTCCCCAAAGAACTTTCAGTCTAACTATAAGACGAGACAACAGATGGATGTAGACAGATGGGGAAGTAAAAGTAAAACAAGAGACAATATTGGTTAGCAAGGCAGGCAGTGATATTAGTGTACCAGCAGCTTAACCATTTTTTATAGGCCTTATGGAGAGTTTTGAGGAGGGATTTGAAGGAGGCTAATGAGGTAGTTTGTGGATGTTTAAGGAGAGCTCCTCTTACACATGAAGGGCAGCATGGGAGAAAACACAAAGGTGCTTGTTTGAAAATTTAACAAGTGGGGCAATGGAGGCTGGCATCCTGGGCTGATCGGAGCCAGGAGTTAACATTTTGACACTGAATGAGAGATGCTAGTTAGGGTGGGGATAGGCCATGAAGGGTCTTTGAAGTAAAGACAAACAAGCTTGTGTTTGACGCAATAGAGCGGGGACTCAAAGAGAGAGTTGATATTTCTTAAGTGGCAGGCTAGGAAAATGATCTTTGTAGGAACATTCTGAATAGATATTAGTGAGGCAAAACTGCATTTGTCAAGGCCAGAGAAAAGGATATTGCAGTAACCAAAATGATGATAGACTGGACGAGAGTTTTATCTGTATGGATGGATAGGAAAAGTCGTATCTTAGAGATGTTATGCAGAAAGGATTTGCAAGATTTAGACATAACCTGGATACAAGAAAATAGAGAGGTCTAAGTTGAAGATGATGCCCAGGTTACTGGCCCGAGTGCCAAGCAGGATGGTGGTATTGTCCACACAGTGACTGAGAAAGGAAGTGGTGGGGAGGACTTGGGCGGAGTGCGGGGGGAATTAAGAGCCGGGTTTGGCCATGTTGTACTAGAGCTGATAGCGAGACATTCATGAGGAGATGTCAGAGAGACGGGTTGAGATTTTAGGTCTGGAGTAGAGAAGTAGATCTGTCAGTCACCAGCACAGAGTCGGTAATTGAATTTGTTTGTGGGTGAGATTATTCAGTCATAAGGTGAAGAAGGAGAAGAGAAGGGGACCAAGGACAGAGCCCTGTGGAACCTCCACGGAAGGATGAGGTGGATTCGCCAAAGGATACACTGAAGGATCAATTAGAGAGGTAGGATCGGAACCAGGAGAGGACAGTCACAAAAGCCAAGGGAGGAAAACATTTCAAGAAGAAGAGCATGGTTGCCTGTGAGGAAGACGGCTGACAGGCCAAGCAGGATGAGGAGGGACTGCTAGTTCTGAGATTTGGCTAGGACAAGTTCATTAGAGACTTTGGCAAGAGCAGTCTCAGTGCAATTCAAGGCAGAAGATGGGAGTAAAAACAACGAGGAGTCCTTGTGGCACCTTAGAGACTAACAAATGTATTTGGGCATAAGCTTTCGTGGGATATAACCCACTTCATCAGATGCATGGAGTGGAAAATACAGTAAGCAGGTATAAATATACAGCACATGAAAAGATGGGAGTTGCCTTACCAAGTGGGGGGGTCAGTGCTAACGAGGCCAATTCAATTAGGGTGGATGTAGCCCATTCACAACAGTTGACAAGAGGGGGTGAATATCAAAAGAGGGAAAATTACTTTTTGTAGTGCTAACAAGGCCAATTCAATCAAAGTGGATGTGGCCCATTCCCAGCAGTTGACAAGAAAGTGCGAGTATCAACAGAGGGAAAATTATTTTTTGTAGTGACCCAGCCACTCCCAGTCTTTATTGAGGCCTAATTTGATGGTGTCAAGTTTGCAGACAGCAGACATCAATAGTAGACAATGCATTCAATGGGCTGAGAGATTAAAGGGAGAAAGGAGATGGAGTGGTAGTTGGAGAGGCAAGTGGGGTCAAGAGTGGCTACATACCTCCCCACACACTTGGAACAGTATATATTCCCATATCAAAAACTCACCTATGTTTCTGGATCAAAAACAGGTTGGCGCTATATTGGAGCACATGCTTTAAATCAGAGGTGCTGACTTTGTGATTTCCCCCGGGATGCTGGACCCCCTCTCTGCCCCTTTCCCCAAGCCACCACCTCCTTCCTCAAGCCCCTGCCCTGCCTCGTCCCGCCCCCACTTCGCCTCTTCCTGCCCCCACTGAGCCTCCTTCATGCCACTGAACAGCAGATCGCTGGGGGTAGGGGAGGAGAGAAGGGGAGGGGAGCTGATCCGCGGGGCTTCCGGTGGGTGCTGAGCTATTTTTTTCCC